CGATATTTAAACTACATTATACAAAATTATTTATGTTTCAAATCTATTTTAATTAATTATTTGATTGATATCTATAAAGTTCAGTTCATTTCAAGATCTTTACGTGGTAGAACCACTGCAGTTCTACATGAACTGCAGTGGTTCTACCAATGGGTCGGCTCAACCAGGGTAGAACCACGCTCTCACAGATTACTAGTAATCTGAGAGCGTAAAATAAGAGAATAATGCCGTTTTTCGGAGACCCGAGATGCATTCCATTTCCATCCTCAAGGGTAACAAAGCATCTGTATTTTGATTCTTAATTGAGAGTAGACGTAAATGTTTATTACGAAATCATATGAACTAGGAGCTCGCTTGACGTCCATATTCAAAAAAAAAACTTGCCTTTTTAAATACCGAGTGGTTGTGTATATTGTTGTTCTTTGATTTCGGATACTGTTTTCAATCCAAAAAAAAAAGTTTATATTGTTTAGATACACACAAATATTCATTTTGCTAATCAAAACGTATTACTGTTGTCATCGTATAATGTCCCCCTGACTGAATTTCGGTATCGGTGACCAGTCTCAACGTAGAGTATACGTTTGCGCAGGACAGGATTTTAGTGCAAGGGTGTGTGCGTAGGTGAACTTTCTATTATCTCACCCGCATAGTCCCATGGGACGCTCATTCGACATGACCAGAGACAGATCTGGCGCAGCACCAACGGCTTTATGTGCTTTCTGAAAAACGGGTTGATACACTCCAACTTCCTGACTCTGGGCTGTAACTGAAGATTTATTGCCATAAAAACCTAGATAACTGATTATAGCTCGGCCCGGGATTCGCTCCCGGAACCACATGATCACCAGTCCTACGATCGCTAGACAACCGTTGTCTTGTATGTCGACGCATAACAGGAGTTAAGACAAGTGGCTGAATATATGTGAAGAAACATGATGATTATTATGATAATCGTAGTAGGTAACCATTATTCTTCATATAATTCATAAGTTAAAGCAAATTTTATAATATATAATGCATATCAATTCATCATTCATATCACCCTAATAAAAGTTCACTGATGAAAACATAGGCTTCCTCCATAGATTCCTTTTAGGATAGAACAACAATTGCCAAAGTTGCCAAGCTGGGCAGGTATGTAGCAAAATCATATTTTTGTCTTCATTGAACAGCGCCGTTTAGTAGTGGCACTACGATATTATTTAAATAAAAGATATGTTTTATTTCTTTATAATGTTTTATTGGATATAGAGGTCGTATTAACTACAATTTTACTTACGTATTAAAGTGAAGTAGGTTAATCTCAAACCTTTTCTTTCTAATCGCAAATAAAGTAACAGCCTACAACTCACACTCATGCTTTCATTGTACCTACACAACGGTACTAGAGTATATATATCGCGAGGTCTGTATACTCAGTAATCTGATCTTTATAGTGTGAGTGTGTGGATGTACATATAGCAACATGTGATCACTCAGTCTTATATATACGTGAATAAAGTCGAGTACGTATGTATGTGTGCGTGCGACGACGGCGCAGTTAGGAAGCTGCGCGTGAGATTTCCCCGCACGCAGCTGCGGCGGCCAGGTGCGCGCTCCCCTGTCGCGGAACTTACTCCGCCCTGCGCGTCCCGTACCCCTCCCACGTACTGTCAACCACAAACGGGGTTATCAAATTAATATTTTACATGGTAGTCTCTCGCTAATCCGCCACCATAAAATTCTAACCTCATATTTCGAAAAAATGGGTCTAACTTTGCTTGTTTTTTACCAAAATATATCTTCTTGTTAACTTTATCGCACATTTTACGCAAATTTGCAACCATATCGCATGACTTTCCATTTTCCAAGAGTGGTTGCGTACGGCGGACTATAGAATTACGTTCGTTTAACCCATGAAAGAGAGGTACGGCAGATTATCAAATCGAAGACTATCGGTGTCGGCGGATTACATAGTTTAATCAATTCTAATCTCCAGTCCTAAAACGGTGGATTATAGTATTTGTCGGATCATCGAGAGGCGGATTAACGAGAGAGTACTGTATATACAATTTACTCTATTATAATTTTAAGTAAATTAGGTAGTTTTTATTTAATAACTCAAATAGTAAGTATGCTCAATAATAATTTGTACGGGTTTCGTAAAACATAAACTACACCGAATTCAAAATAAATACTTTAATACAGATAACATATAATTCTATCGATCTATAATTTGATCGCTCTCTAATTAATATCTTAACCATTGATATAAGGTTAAAGCTTACAAAACAAGAATCTTTAGTTTTAATTCCACACTACTCAAATATAAAGAAATATTTTTTCTTTTTTCTTTTACTAATATATAAATAATTAGATTTATTTAATAAATTTTCGTTTTCGTAAACCCTTAGTATACTACATTAAATTTTGAGTTATTTTAAGTATAACAATCACTTATTTTATAACATCAGTTCCGACAGTTAAATTATATATGTACTTATAAAACAAATTCGTTCACGTCTGTACTTCACTACCCCATCAAAATCTGTGAATGCTTGCACAAACCCGCTTCCATGACATAAGCAGCACATCAAATATTACATTTATTCCGCTCGCTGTGGGACGAATTAAACCTGGTACTTTATGTGTGCGGCCCTTATGGGCCCCGTCCCCGCAAGTAATTATCCTACATGTTTTTATATCTGATTTTTAGTGAATTATTATTTAAGGTTTTGGACAGTACTGTACTGGAATTATTTGGATATCTACATAGATTATATTCATTGGCGTTTATTAATTTACTGTTATATTTTTTCTTTTTTAATTTAGAATTAAACTTTGGCTTAAAAGCTTACTCTAAGTCTTACGCTTACGCTACTTATTTTTGTGAAATACATATTTGTTTCCGCTTAATGCAGACTTTGATGAATAAACTTGATACGAAATAGCCTTATGCAATGGGGAAAATGGAGACAAGCATTTTTAAGAAAAGAAATATTGATTTAGCTAAAATAGCAGTAAGTAATAAGTTACTCGCATTATAGTCCTATCAAAGATCACTTCTGCTTTTGCAATTAAGGCTTGAGAACTGTATTAAATCATACCAATTAATGGTAATATGTTAGACCTCAGCTCGGCAAATAAGGAGTATCACAAACGGCTTGTAGCTGCAAAACGGCAAACGGCTTACGTGGTAGAGCCATGCTGCAATTATATTAGTAGTATAGTTGTAGCACGAATGGGTCGGCTCGACCGGGGAAGGACCACGCTCTCACAGAATATCAGCGTGAAATAGTAGCTTAATGCTGCTGTATTTCGTATGGTAAGTGTAGAGAACCGGAGACCCTTTTTACTGGAAATGAGGCATTCCATCTCAGTCCTCACGGGTGACAACGCATCTGCATTTTGATTCGTAATCGAGGATAGATGTAGATGTCTATGGGCCGCAGCAACCACTTACCATCAGGTGGACTGTGTGCTCGTTTGTCACCCTATCCTATAAAAAAAAAAAAAAGAAATATTACAGTGTTTATATTACGGTTTAATGCGTAGAATAAGGTCCAGAACATATATAAAGTCGTAGTAGTGGTGCTTTTAATAACGAATGGGTCGGCATAACCGGGGTAGGCCCACGCTCTCACAGAATACCAGCGTGAAATAGCAGCTTAATGCTGCTGTGTTTCGTATGATGAGAAGTAGAGTGAGTAGAGAACCGGAGACCCTTTTTTACTGGAAACGAGGCATTCTATTTCTGTCCTCGGGGTGACAACTCATCTGTATTTTGATTCTTAATTGAGGAAAAATTTAGATGCCTGTGGGCCACAGCATTCATTTAACATCATGTCGACTGTGTGCTCGTTTGCACATATTCTATAAAAATACTATTGTATAAGATGACACTGGGACAATTGATAATTCAGAGAAGGGCTTTTTCAGCCAATTTTAGATCACCAGCTGCTATCGATCTACGAAATCTCTAGAAATGGTAATAAGTTATACCAACACAGGACCACCAAATAGTAACCAACAAACATACAAACACCACCTTCCAATAAAGCCGCGTTTTAGCGCATTGCGCTGCTCGCTCACCTAGGTGCAGATATGACATTGTTGGTTAAACCAGTCTATAACCTTTTAATTTCTTTATTAATGCATTAACGATACACAAACTTTAATCTTTAATTACTTATGTATGTCATATTTATAAATATAAAAATATGTAAACCTAAATATCACATTACATTCATTCGATAACGTGAACAGATATATTAACATATGCGCATTTTAAGCCCAGCTTCGCGAGGTAATTTTATATATATGTCTTTTAAGTTTCTACCATGTAGTGCTTTAGAAATCCAGCAGGCGGCAAAGGAGAGACAAAGTGGAGATGGGTAGCAAAAACATTTTGACAACTATTTAAAATAAATCATTTTAGTTTTTTAGACTGTTATAGGCTCACAATGTCACTCGCAATTCATCGTTATCAAGCTGAGTGGCTGGCCGTCCTCATGGTTATATTGTTATAAATTATTGACATAACCAATATTTCAAAACGAAAACAACACCAAAATCAAAATAATGCGCTCATTAGTAAGAATTATCAATTCTAACACTAGTGATACACGTCGTCTGAGTCACGTTTCTCCCACATATCATATTTTAAAAAATACACAAATTTTCAATGTTTGCATCTACATGTAACTACAGTGGCTGTAATAAAAATGAAAATCAAATATCTGTTGTTATAAATCTGATTACAGAATACAACATGTTTTATTTTAAAAAATTCAAGTATCGAGACTTTTCACCAGACGGTAATGTCAATAGCTTACAAGTCATATTATAACATAAAAAGTAACTTACATCAAAAAGTTTTTCTAAAACGATACTACTAATTGTATCACGACAAAAATAATAATAATTACAATCAAAAAATATTTTAACATCATCATCTTAAACACAATCCATTATTAGTTTACTGCCAAACATAGGCAATTAAAACCAATACATAATATTTATAATCTTGAGTCCATACAGAGATGTAAAGAAAATCTTTCACCTCGTTCCGATTCTGGAAAATTGGCAGCACTATTTTTCTCGAACATCACGATCAAATAATTGCGATTGTACACCAATCTGCTAAATGTGCCACCTTTGGCGAATAGCTCATTTAAAGATAGTCTCTTTCTATATTATAATGAACAAATTATGTAATATTTTAAAATCAATGTCATTATTGCTGAGGCGTGTACCACATGGGTTTGTCTAATTGTTTTGGCGATTAGAAGATTAGGAGCGTGTGAGTGTTCACGCAACGCGACCGCATGCTCGATTTGGTGAGTTTTATATTTTACTACAACGAAGCGACTTTTATTGTTTTCTTTTGACATTATGTAATTTCAGATGCTAATTTTATCTATCACACTTATTATTGCCTTCTTTTTCGTTAAGTTTATAATAGTTTTCATATAAGTGTGACAACCACCAACACAGTCCACATGATGGTAAGTGGGTGCTGCGGCCCATAGACATACATATTTGTTTATAAAAAGAGTCATATGCAGATCTGCTGTCGCCCTTGAGGAATACGATGGAATGCCTCGTTTCCGATAAAAACGATCTACGGTTCTCTACAATTACCATACGTAACACAGCAGCAATAAGTTGCTACTTTACTCTGGTATTCTACATTCACATTCGTCCTACAACCACATGCAGCGAGGCTCTACCACGATAGACTTTTGTGTGCCTTGAATGGATGTATTCTAGTTTCTCTGTATGAAGCTAATCCTGTCTCTCTTTTCGATTTTTGTGCGATACAATGCGAATCGACAGTACCTAGTCGTGGTTTCAAATTATGGGATGGATGTATTCAAAACAAGAGTGAATAAGCTTTTATTAAGTCAGTGTGCTTTGCCATCTTAGGCTGCATCACTTCTTAAGCTGCATAACCACTTACTTGCACACTATCAGGTGGGTTAGTAGCCGAGTACTGGGGCATAAAAGTAAAAGTAATTAATAAAACGTTTAACTTTACACTGTTAGAGCTACAATGCACCTGTTTTTCCTACAACGCTTTTTGAGTCCCGAAATAAACTATATTTAAGGGGATAGAGTAAGTCAGCTCAAATTCTAATTTCGTCCCCACTTGCCCGCGCGTCGTATGCTATGTACCGACATGTTTGTAATCACTAATACTGTAAGTAGAAAGTTCGTTAGACACTTATTTCATTAGGTTTATCATATTTATGCCTGTTTCTTAACGCCAAGCCACTCGCTTCTTATTTTTATTACGGTTATTTCCCATTTTAATTTTACGTCATCCTGTTGCGTAATGTATATTCTGATCGTAAGCGACACAACCTCCCCGTTCAAAGGCCGAAGCGAAGTGACCGTGCGGCAGGAACCACACTTCAAGAGGCCGATAGTTTAGGTAATTTCTTTTTACAGTGAAAATAATGGTATTTTAAAAAAAGTAAATAACATAAGCACTGCTTTACAGTTAGTTCAGTTAGTATGCAAAGTTTCATGATCTTATTTAAAGTATTTTATGAATAACAGCGGTTTATTGTTTATTTTGAAGGTAACTTTGGATTTTTTTTCTATCGAGAAAATTTTACGAAATCGTGTTTTCGTCTAACATAAGCCTTAACATTAATCCTCAACTTTACCATATATTTATTTCAAAATTAATGCTGCAATATTTTCGGCATAACGAAGGATCTTGCTAAGCCATTTGAGATTATATTTCCCCTTAAGTTATTTTTAAACAGCGGTGTCCAGTCAGGGCTCTTGCCTAAGTGCCTAATTTGTCTCGTTTTTAGTAAGCAGGGTACTGCGTGCTGGTCAGGTTAGTATTTTAAGAAGGTATTGTTACATCTCCCATACAATCACACACAAATTATATGGTAATATCCTAATAATAATAAATATCCAAGAAAAATATTTTTTGGACTCAAATAAGATTTTGTATGTTTTAGATGCGGTGTTGCCATTTATTGTATTTTTTGTCTTATATTAATATTTTGCCGAAATTAAGGGAACGGAGAGTCAATATTTATTTATTGAAGGAAGAGTGATGATCCACCAATCCACCTGATGATAAGCGGTTGCTATAGCCCATAAACACTTACATCTGTCCTCGATTGAGAATCAAAATTCAGATGCGCTGTCACCCTAAGAATTAAGATAAATGTGAAAAGAATCTGTGTTTCTTGTTCTCAACACTCACCAGCCCACAGCACGAAACACATCAGCACTCTGATATTATTTTTCTATGAGGGTGAGGTGTGAATCATTCTACCGCATATAAATGTACAAAACCTTCCAAAATGTCTAATTCACACGTGGCCTGATCACGACCGTTCGAATTCGGTAAATATGAGAGCGTAAAACATTACAACGGAACGATGCGGCAACGAGACGACACGAGCGCACGGCAATTTACCGCATTTCACGCCAAAGCTGCGGGTCACGGCGCGGGGTCACGTCCCGATGTCACGCTGCCCGCTTTCTATCACCTCACGGAACAAAAGTCGCCCGTTCTATGAGTCTGTGACACAGTTGCTAATAGGTACTTTCATCCTGTAATACTATACTCTTGTTTTATTGTTGTAGAACCTAAGCCCTTACAAATTTTTAGACATATCATAAATATTGCACGAACCTGATGACTTTTGATTGACGGGCTTAGCCGGGTAGTGACGAGTTTGAACTCCAAGCGGGCTATATACCACCGTCAGCAGCATTAAAACCTTGGCGGTATTTAATATAAACGCCTCTTTCTACACTTAACGACAGGATGAAATGGTGTTGTAAATTTTCTTACGACGCCATTTTATTCTTAGTTTTCAAATATACGAAGGTTTTCGTGGCGGTTGACAACATCCGCCATAATTTTGTCTTCTCTATTTACATAGAACTTGAATGTTGGAAGCTTTACATCGCAGATAGGTAATTTTACCTTATTTAATTACCTTAGAAATTTTGACGTTTATCGGCTGCTACTTTACTTTATTTTTTACGAAAGATGCCTAATTGTGTCGTGAAAACGTGTAAAACCTTAAGAAACTAAGATTAATACACAGGTGTTAAATTTAATTTGTAAGTAGTAAGTAATTGACTTATACTTTGTTAAGATTTAATTTCACTTGTAAGTATTAATTTACTTATACTTTGTTAAGATTGGTAAATGCATCGTCATAATAACGGTGAATGAACAACAAAAATGTAATGCATCTGCAAATAACCATAATAGTAGTTCCTTTTGATTGGTATTTAAAAATTAATTGCTATTAATGACAAATTTTAAATACTTTAAAAACAAAAAAGTTAAAACTTTGTAGCTCTTACAAATTTAAAGAAAAAGTGATAGATATCTTTTGAAGACTAGGTTACCTAGGTTTTCTGGTTCTCGAAGAAGAATGTATTTTGATTCTGAGAATTTTGAAAAAATACATTTTAAAAGTAAATGTTTTAATCACTGTAAATTTACAATCGACTTTAATCTTTTTTAATTTTATTAATTGTGTATTAAGTTTCTAAAGGAACTGTATCAATTATTTATTATCGCTACTGATGATATTTTTTCTCGCTCAAAGGCCAAGTATAGCCATTCAGCGAGGAAACAGCGTTCTTGGCACTATACCGCGGGGAGTAGGGCTGTAGGATAATTTAAATATTTAACTAAAAAAAATTTTGTAACTTAATAAATATTGTATATTTGAATGTTTTATTTCGTATCAAATCTATATTTACTTTTGTTGTTCTTTCGTCTATTCTGTTCTGTTCGTCATTTGAAATATATGTCGAGTTCTGTCTATCATTCTTTGTTGGTCTATGTATTTGAAGTGGACTTAGAAGTACTGACAATTGCAAAAATGTTTGTAAACTATAAAATATTAGAATAGAATCTTTTAAGCTATTATACATTGATAATTTGTTATAAGATACTTAAGTTTTAATAGTAAAATGTTTAGCATACGCCCATTTTTTTATAGGATAGGGTGACAAACGAGCACAAAGTCCACCTGATGTAAAGTGGTTACCGTGGCCCATAGACACATACATCTATCCCCGTTTACGAATCAAAATTCAGATGCGTTGTCACCCCTGAGGACTGATATGGAATGCCTCACTTCCAGTCAAAAGGATCTTTGGTGCCCTACACTCACCGTACGAAACACAGCAGTATTAAACTGCTATTTTACGTTGGTATTTAGAGAGAACGTGTGGTCCTTCCCGGTCGAATCGACCCATTCGTGCTACAATAATAATGAGTTTACCGAAAGAACAAGGAAACTACTTTTATTCCATTTTTATAACATATGCAAAGTGATGATATTTTATTTGTTGGTGATATTTTATTCGCTTGTGCGAATATTGACATGTCAAATAAAACCATTAATATCGTGAATAAGAAAACTGATACAATCCTTTCAATATTTGCTTGCCAAATATCAACTCTGCAGTGATAATTTCAATTTAATTTTTCCCTAAAATAATGTAATTTACCTCCATATATTGTATTGCACTAACGGCATCACCCGATGACCAACCTAGTAATTTCGAGCGCCCGCGATTTTTCCACAGATGAGCGCGCGAACGCGCCCGTGACTTCCGTTTCCGGCGGCGCGCCTGCGCAGCATCCGCGCGGGAGCAGCCGACCGCTACGTCCCATGTTAACTACAAATTTAAGTACTGCTATGCATTTTATATAATACTTATAGTTAAAGTACAGTTTGGTACTATCGTAAGAGAACTCATCACATATTATCCACTGGGTTTTATTATCATAAAAGAAAGAAGTATGTGACCAGTATTAACATGATATTTAAACAACTATGGTTAGCAATTTACTAGCTGGGTAAACGTGGCAAATATTGGATTAAATCTCTAGAGGAAACCATTAATTAGTAGTAGACAGGTACATGCGTATATTAGATAACGAGTACGATAACTACGCTAATATTTTTTTTTTGCATTTCACACAATTTTAGGTCATTCAACTTGTTTTTAAATCCATTTTATAACTAGTTTTATTGGTGGTGGTGGTACCCTGCAGCTATTTTATATAGCTATTTTAGCCGCAGTATGCAAGAATAGTTCGACTTAACTGCGAAAAGACAACGCTAACACAGAATTCGAGCATAAAATACCAACATAAGGCTTCTGTATTTCGTATGGTTAGTGATGGGAAATGGAGGCCGTTTTTACTGGTAACTAGGCATCTTAGTCCTCAGGTTCAGTTTAGTTTTCCATGAGTCACAGTATCTATCACCTGTTAAGATGATAGACGCTATGGCAAGTATGGGTGACAATCATCAATTTGCCGAAGCCGATTGTCTAGAACCTGAGATCCTTTTTTACTGGTAACGAGGCATTCCACCTTAGACCTCAAGGCTGAAAACGTTTCTGCATTTTGACCTATATTTGAGGATCGATATAGATGAGAGCCTATGGGTCACAGCACCCATTTACCATTAAGTGGACCATGTGATCAATTGCCACCCTTATTCTATAAATAACTAAAAAATAGGCGACTACTATTTTATTAACGCCAGTGTAAAAATATGTAGACCTATTTACATCACCTGTAATATACGAGTATGTAATATTATACATACATTATATCCATCATTTACCACTCCATATTTCATAATGGTCAGAAAGCAAGTTCCATATTTGCTTTCTAAAATCATAAATGATTTTTATTGAATATTTAAACATAAATAGCGACCGCCATGGTGGGAACTACTGTGACGTCGTTATAGTTTGAAAAATAATAATCATTAATAAACATTTATATTATAATATTTTCTACTTCACAAAAAAAATATTTACGAATGATTACTCATGTCTTGGCATGCAAATAATTACCTGAGCTTGATAAAAGGTAATTATTTTCATATAACAATATGAAAAATATGAAGTATGAATTAAAATAACAACAAAACATATAATATGATATATTTAACGTTGTATCAGTTTGCATAACGATATTGCGACCAGGAAGAAAGGAATGTTTCTGTAGTTTGGACACGTAGAAAGATTAGATTAAAAAACAGTGAAAAATAAAATTTATGCATAAGTTAATGGCAGATTTAGCAAGAGACACCATAGAAAGAAGTTATTGGTGAAATTGACAATATATTAAATATGGGCCAAAATAAAAGTAAGCTTAAACGATGAGCATGTATATATAGATAAGTTTTAAGGATTTGTAAGCAGCGAGAGAGGTGTGTCGGGATCGTACGAGTACCAAATGGAAGTCCGTAATTTTTTCCTATACAAGCGTGACAACCGTGCGAATTTATGTTTGTATGTATATCCCTTAATTACATACAACCTTTAGTGGCTAAGTGTGTGTTAATTACATACAAGCGTTAGTGGCAACTAGTGGCTAACCCACAAAATTTACCCACAAAATTCTCACCTGAAAGGTGAGAATTTTGTGGGTTGTAAACCGTTCAGTTCTTACAGTTAGAGTTCTTATAGCCACCGACGTCTAAAGAATGGAACTACTCTCAATTAATTTTAACGCCCATAAAACATGGTGTGTAAGTGTTTCAATATACCACATTACATTGTTCATAACACTATCACTGACTGCAAATCTACGTCAATTTCGTATATACGTCAGCGTGACGCGTAGAGATGGCGGCGCACGTCGGATGCGTCCCCATTAGTCCGTCGTCGCGACCGCTTGACGCTTCCGCCAGCTATGACATGCCAGGAACATTATCGCGACATAATTCTAGTTATCTCACAAATAGAATATGCACTGCCTTTTATGCAACGACGTAACTATGTACCTCGTTATAGTATATGGCATGGATAGGCACTATGATTCAAGGAGTGGTGGGCTTAGACCATTCAACCCAATTGAATTAGACCATTCAATTTTGTTGAATGGTCTAAGGTGGTTGCGGAATAAAAGATATTCATTAACTCATTTCAATCTGTGGATGTCAGCATATAACAGCTTTAAGGTAATCAGATTAGCACTATATCAGCTATGTTTAAATTAGAATAATTGTGTCTTACAAAACTTTTTCGCAGTAGCACTCTCCGGCAGTATAAGAAGTTCCAGCCGTAGTCAAGCATTAGCTACGCTGACATCACCATCATCAGTAAATACAAAATAATCAATAAATATAATAAGATATACAATAATCGAAGTTCATTTAAGTCGCTATGAAAAGAGTATATGATTTCATTATATATCAGATTTCGAGTTTAAAAGGAATTTAGATTTCAGATTTAACGGTTTTTTTATGGAAGAGGAGGCAAATGTGCATGTGGCTCACCTGGTGCGAGGATTGAAATAATACTAGTTTTTACGGAATTTATCGCGTATATTTTAACTTTTTAAATACCCGACGTTTCGAACGCTTTACAGCACTCATGGTCACGGGCAGGACTGAGATGTTCAACGTCCATATGTCATAGTTAACCGCGGTTACCATAGATTAAAATTTAACTTTTGTTCCGATCTATGCAGTATGAACTTATTGTATCTTGAAGTCTTGCAGTTGTATGCTTGGGTTGGGATTTAATTTTATTTATTATAGGATCCCAAGCAGATGGTAGCACCCAGCCATCTTCTCTATTGAAATTAGAATGTGTTTTGATTTCAATAGCCTCGCGAATCATCCTTGGAAGGAATCGGTGTTCTTTAGCGAGGATCTGCGGTCTATCAAATCTGATGTAGTGACGGGGGCGATCCTGTACGTGTTCACAGACTGCAGACTTCCCGGAGCGTCGATTCTTCACATTCGGGGTACGACACAACGTCGGGTATTTAAAAAGTTAAAATATACGCGATAAATTCCGTAAAAACTAGTATTATTTCAATGTGTAGTGTTCGCGTAAATATAAGAAATCATGGTGCGAGGATGTTTAATGTTAAGGTCTTGAATTTTTTTTGACCTGTAGGGAGGAAATCTCTTCAAAGAACCATCTTTTTAAAGTTCATCATCATAAGTCGTACATACATATTTTCACTGTTGTCAGTTGTTTATAATCATGTAACATCAATAATAATTATGGTTGTATTTTCACTGCATAAAATAAGTAAACAATTTAGTCAAAAAATCTTCCAGCATAATATATAAGTTGGCAGCTCTAAGGATGTCAGGGCTAAAAGTACTAAATTGAAGTTAAATAAATTAAACATGCAAGACATGTCTACGAAGTTAATTCTTTTTTAAGCATATTTTACACGTTAATAGCGGTTTGCTATGTTGACAAATTGATCTATAATTATTATAGCAATAACGTTACGTAAGTCCCGCCGCATGCATTTGGAGTTCTGTCTGTTCAGTTGCCTGTATTTCAAATCTGCTGAATACTGCAGCTTCATTTCCCGTCTAACAGCCATAAGATTAAGAGTGTGATCGGAGATTTTTTGGCGAGGTTTTGCATGTGTGTCTTTTCTGTATAGTTTTTTTTCGTCTACTGTAATGCTTTCAAATTCAGTGAAGAAAGCAGGAATGCTACTGCCTGACTTAGATCTGGAATTGGAAGTAAGTACCCGTGAAAGGTCACTTACACGTGGACAGTAAGAAAATCCAGCAGCGGTAGCTCACAGGCGCGAGCGGCCGCATCCTGCGCGAGATGAGACGCGCCTTCCTGCGCCCACGCGGTTGCACGCGCCGCGAAGCGCGACCGGGGGGACAGGGCACGTACATACATGGCAAAAGGTTTATTAAAAAAATTGCAGATACAAAAATATTAATGTAATGAATAATTAAATTTAAGTTCATTAATTAATAAGATTAAAATCCAGTGATTTAAAAAAACATTTTTAATTTGGCGTGGTGGCGTGTGATATGTGACCGATTCATTGCGAAGAAATTTTAAAGCTGAAAGTGAGAATGTTTTGTTTGTCAATGAGATATCCCCAGTAAAAGCTTAGTACAAAATTCACAGGTTGGTAATATGAAGCAGCATTAACAGTGCAGGCGTATCGACTCTGCTTTCGTCAATCCATTGTTCCAGAGGGGCGAGTTTTTCAAAGAATTCTTGCCAACAAGTGCTTATTTGTCCCAGAGAGGCCTATGTTGAACAGTTAACTTGAAAATGTTTTTGATGGCGATGATGATTAATTATTTACTATCAACCAGAAACAGTATGAATAATTGAACTGTATAGTTTTTGCGTAGAAAAAAAAACAATCAGCCCCACTTGTTTTACCCAGGTCAAGAATTTCTTAAAGCCTTACACTTTACAACTGCGTCACAGTTCGTTAGTTTTTTCTGACTTTTAATCATAACTTAATTAGTTTCTAATAACTAACTTTAAATAAATCCATCCAAAATTGATAAAAAAATCCCATTAGCTCTCAACGAAGCACAATACCATCACTGAGAAGGTCTCAGCTTGAACCAGTTTGCTGGCTCAATGTAGTTGGGTAGCTGATGGCAAATTTTTCTAAAGGCTTATATTCAACTTTGGACCTAAAAATGCAACGCTATGTGAAATTAATAAATTAATTAAGTATTATTAAGAACAAAATCGGCTGCTCTTTTATAACTAATAAAACACGTTTGCCAAAATACACAAGCAAGCGAGATATTGTTTTTTGAAGGCTGTTTATTAGTCTTATTAACCAAAAATGAGCCTACAACACCCAGTAAAGAAATCAAACGACACCTTGCATCTCAATATCCGTAAAGC